TCGGCTTTACGGGTGATCGGGTGACCTCTATCGGCTCCATCGATCTTCCCATCACAATCGGCGAATACCCGCGGCAGACCACAAAGTTACTCACCTTCCTTGTTGTCGACTACCCCTCTGCCTACAATATCATCCTTGGCCGCACCGCCCTAAATGCCTTCTAAGCTATCACATCCACTTTCCATCTTACCATCAAGTTCCCCATCGATCTTGGAGTCGGCACAGTGAGGGGAGAGCAAACCATGGCCAGAGAGTGTTATGTCGCCTCACTTAAAGAAGTCAAGCTTAAGGAGGCCATGATCATTGAAGGACTCGACGTTAGAGACGAGGACGAGCTGGTCAGAGGGAAACCAGTGGAAGAGCTCGTTGAGGTACTCATCGATCCCACCAACCCATCAAAAACTGCCAAGATCGACAGCCAACTATCCTCCCAGGCCAAGACTAACCTCACCGCCCTCCTGATTGAGCACAACGACGTATTTGCCTGGACCCACTCCGACATGCCAGGTATTGACCCTTCCTTCATCACCCACCGTCTCAGCATCTAGCCCTATTTCCGACCAATCCGCTAAAAACAACGCATCTTTCGCCGGGAGCGTAATAACCTTATTGCTTCTGAAGTAGATAAGCTTCTTGAGGCACAGTTTATCACAAATGTGGACTACCCCAGATGGCTGTCGAATGTGGTCCTGGTTCGTAAAAACAATGGTAAATGGTGACTCTTTGTCGACTACTCCGACCTCAACCGAGCTTGCCCCAAAGACAGTTACCCTCTACCTCGCATAGATCTGCTGGTAGACGCCACGACCGGCCATCAAATGCTCAGCTTCATGGATGCCTTCTTTGGGTATAACCAAATTCTGATGCACCCGTTTGACCAGGAACACACCTCCTTCATCACCGACCGGGGAACCTACAATTACCGTGTGATGCCATTTCGGTTAAAAAATGCTGGAGCCACTTACCAACGGTTGGTCAATGCCATTTTTCATCACCAGATAAGCCGAAACATAGAGGTATATGTCGACAACATACTAGTCAAAAGCAAGCTCTCCACTGATCGTCTGGTCGACCTGCGGGATACCTTCACCACCCTACGAAAACATCAAATGAAGCTCAATTCGGAGAAATGCGCCTTCGGCGTAGGATTTGGAAAGTTCTTGAGTTTCATGGTCAGTTAGCGGGGCATCGAAGCTAACCCTGAGAAGATCAAGACCCTACTTGAAATGCAGTCACCCAGAACAGTTAAGGAGATTCAGTGACTTACTGGCCGAGTTGCCGCCCTCAATCGCTTCATTTCCCGCGCAACGGACAAATGCCTCCCCTTCTTCAAAGTTTTTCGGCAAACTTTTGAGTGGACGACAGAATCTGAAGAAACCTTTCAGCAATTGAAACAGTGGATGACCAACCCCCCTTTACTTTCTCAGGCAATCACGGGCGAACCCCTCTTTCTCTATTTGGCCGTGTCAAACACCGCAGTTAGTGCAACACTCATCAAGGAAGACAGCTCTGTCCAACGACCGGTCTACTACATCAGTCGGGCTCTCAGGGGAGCAAAACAGAACTACCCATTGCTTGAAAAAATGGCCTTAGCCTTGGTCATAGCCTCAAAGACGACTCCGACCTTACTTCCAGGCCCACTCCATTATCGTCCTCACCGACCAACCGTTGAAGAAAATCATGCAACAACCAGAGTTGTCCAGCCGACTTATGCAATGTTCAGTCGAACTCAGCCAGTTTGATATCTCCTACAGACCTCGAACGACGATCAAAGGGCAGGTTGTCGCCAATTTTATCCTGGAATTCACTAATCCCATTCCGACCACGGCCCCACCACCTCCTCAACCCCAGACTAAGGTAGAAGACTCCCATTCTTGGACCGACCAACCGTTGAAGAAAATCATGCAACAACTAGAGTTATCCAGCCGACTTATGCAATGTTTAGTCGAACTCAGCCAGTTTGATATCTCCTACAGACCTCGAACGACGATCAAAGGGCAGGTTGTCGCCAATTTTATCCTGGAATTCACTAATCCCATTCCGACCACGGCCCACCACCTCCTCAACCCCAGACTAAGGTAGAAGACTCCCATTCTTGGACCCTCAACGTCGACGGATCATCCTGCAAAGAAGGCAGTGGGGCTGGTCTCATCCTCACCACCCTCGAGGGCGGTTATTTCAAATGTGCTCTCCGATTCTTGTTCGATGCAAACAATAATGAAGCCGAATATACGGCATTGATAGCAGGTCTCCGCCTAGCCAGAGACATCGGTGTCAGCCATATCCGGGTGTTCAGCGATTCCCAGCTTATTGTCAGACAAATCACGGGGGAATTCAATGCCAAGGAAGACACAATGCAGGCTTACAAGAATATTGCACTCCCCCTTGCTCGTCTCTTCAATACTTTCCATATCAAGCACATTCTCCGGGCGAAAAACTCCAAGGCAGATGAGATGGCTTAATTAGCTTCTGCAGACCAGTCAGACCTCAGCCACGGTGTCCACCTCAAGTACCTGACCCACCCTGCCATTTTCCCCAACCAACAGGAAGTCCACTTCCTCCAAAATGAACTTATCCCATGGGCATCCGACATCTTTCTATTTTTGACAATGGGGAAACTGCCAGATGACAAACAACAGGCCGCCAAAGTCAGGGCCCGGTCGTCCAATTACATTCTTGTTAGTGGTCTCTTGTACAAACGTGGCTTTTCACGCCCATACCTGAGATGCCTCAACCCTGCTCAAGCGACCTACGTGATAAGAGAAGTCCATGAGGGTGTATGTGGCAATTATTCGGGTGGCAGGTCCCTAGCCCACAAAATACTTCGCACTGGTTACTTCTGGCCTACTTTCAATCAAGATGCGACAGACTTCGTACTCAAATGTGATAAGTGCCAATGTTTTGCCAACATCCCCCATGCTTCACCTACAGAATTGATCACACTTTACAGTCCCTACCCATTCGCCAAATGGGGGATCGACCTAGTTGGCCCATTGCCCACTGGCCGAGGCCAAACCAAATTCGCCATTATGGCCATTGATTACTTCACTAAATGGGTGGAGGCAGAGCCCCTTGCCACAATTACCGAATGGAACACAACCAGATTCATCTGGCAGTCGATCGTATGCAGATTTGGTATCCCTCAAGCCATCGTCTCCGACAACGACAAACAATTCGGCAATGCCAAGTTTAGAAAATTCTGTGCGGAGCTTCAAATTTAGCCATGTTTCTCTTCCCCAGGTCATCCTCAAGCCAATGGCCAAGTTGAGGTCACCAACCGTTCTCTTCTGAAGATCATGAAAACCAAGTTAGAAGCTACTAAGGGACTCTGGGCTGAAGAATTACCGAATGTACTCTGGGCCTACCGCACTACCGCTCGAACTCCTACTAAGGAGACCCCCTTTCGCTTAACATACGGCGCTGAGGCAATCATCCCAGTAGAAATCGATCTTCCTACCCCAAAGGTTCTACATCAGAATCCAGAACTAACTGAAGAGCTGCGTCAGGCAGACCTAGACCTAGTCGAAAAGCTCCGAGAAACCACAGCAATCAGATGGGCCTCATACCAACAGAAAATGAGAACACACTACAACCGCAAAGTCCGACCGAAGGAATTTGCAGTGGGGGACCTTGTTTTGCGAAAAGCAACTCTTGCCACCAAAAATCCAATTGAGGGTAAGCTAGCAGCCAAGTGAGAAGGACCTTACGTTGTGAAAGCCAGACCTCGTCCGGGTACTTACCGACTTCAGAATATAGAAAGGTCGAGACCTCCCTTATCCGTGGAACGCTGAATACTTGAAGCGTTATTTTCAATAAATTCCTATGTCTGTTATTGATCAGTTCTTGTATTTTCTTTTTGACAATCTACACACTTGAATGTTTTTCTTCTTCTCTCACATGATGTAAATTTCTGATCCAATGGGTTACACTTTACATGACAACAATCTTACATCTCAATTATCTGTGTGGTACTTCAATAATGTCCTGATTGCAGCACTCAGCTACAAGCCTCAACTAGACTGAGCATGACAAGCCTCAGCCAGTCTTATCATGACAAGCCTCAACCAGACTGAGCATTAAAAGCCTCAGTCAGACTGAGTATGACAAGCCTCAGCCAAATTGAGCGTGAAGAGCTCAACCAGACTGAGTTACTTGAAGAGGCAGCCCGACCGATTTCATCATGGCTCAACCCGAACTGAGCACGAATGACGAGATCGGCCAAGGCCATTATTACAACTTTATGATCGTGGCATAGTTGCCATACTTAGTCATATTCCGTTCCAACGTTTTCCAAGTCAAACTGGCTCCTTGTTGGGTCATGATTCACAACTTCACTCTGCATTGAGGTTTTCTTACATTTTAAACTTCACACTGCATTGAGGTTTTCTTACATTTTAAAATCTTCACTCTGCATTGAGGTTTTCTTACATTATAAACTTCACTCTGCATTGAGGTTTTCTTACATTTTAAACTTCGCATTGACTTATACACAAGCCCTATGTAGACCACCACTTTCATTTTTTGCAGATCCTCAAATAATAAAGACAATAGCATAAAAACACACACACAGCTCATAATTTTATTCATTCACAACTTATACGTAAGTTTATTACAGTAACTCTAAAAAAAAAAATTAAAAAAAAAACAACCAAAACTCTTAAGTACAAATTTTGTTCACATCAACTATTCCTCTTCACTCGAGACGAGGTCTTCTTCTTCAACACCCTCGTCTAAAGGGGTCTAGGCCACGTCGTCTTCATCAATCTTCACATTGCTGAAATTCAAGCCTGGGAACAGCTCTTCTGCTTTATGCTTAAACATCTTTCAACCGCTGTCCCAAAACTCAGCCATCTCGTGTTTGTAGAAGTCCGACCGCTGGAAGCTCTGGATTACTTCTTCTTCACTCCTGCTTCCAGCGGTCGCTCCCGACGGACCAGCCCCCCCTAGACGCCTCCCTTGCCAAGTTACTAGCGATCGCAGCATCGATTGCTATCTGGAAGTCAGCAGACCCCTTGAACTGCTTTACTGCTGCGACGCACAAGTCGGGGGTATGCTGTCATCTCAGAGGCTGACTTGGTCTTCTCTTCCTTCAACTTCTCTAACCCCGCCTTCTCCTCCATCAACTTGGCCCGCTCGTCCGCTAACGTCCTCTCCAGCCCAGCAATCTTCAATTCCAACTCTTCTTTCTCTTTGATTGACTGAGCGCGAAGATCTTCGTTGCTGGACATGGCCTCCTCCCACCATTCGTTAGCGACGGTACAGGCTGCATGGGCCTCTTCTAGCTTCTTCTGCTCGTTCCCCAATTGGAACTCAAGCGATACCACCTTGCGGCGTTTCGCTTCCAGCTCCAACTTGGTCATGAGCAGTTCAGCATTAGCTCGATCGACTGAGTACCCCTGCACCATCACCAACACTTGCTTCTTCTTGGCCTTTTGGGTCTCTTTCAACCCCCTAGCGTACACACTTCGCGCGGCCTTCCTCCATCCAACAGTTTCTCTCCTCAAACTTTCAAGTTGGGCCTTCGCCTCCTCCAACTTTACCTTCAGTGGCCCCACTTCGCCTTTGGCAATAGGGCTCCTGCTAAGGCAGTGGCGTCCATTTGGGCAGAATACATACCCCTTAGCAGCTCAACCTCAGTAAAACAGGCCACCGAGATTACGACCGCTTCTTCCACTACCCCCAAAAGGCGATCGACAGCTATCCTAGCTGGGCCTCCTTCTCCCTTCAGTCGCCCAGACGCTGCTGGTGCATGGTAGATGGCAGTCTTCAGCCTGATCCCCTCTCTTTGGGGCGCAGACACCCCCTTGGGCTGTTGCTCCACCCCTCCTCAAGGCCAGCTAACCCACTCTCTACCTGCATCTTGGGGCCCATGGCACTCATGGGCTCTTCTCCTCTTTGGCCCTCTTGGCTAGTCGCCTCACTCTCCATCCCCCTTGTTTCCTCCAACCCCACTTCGGGGGTCTCCTCCGCCGTCACCTCCTTCCTCCTCTTCAGAGCTGGCCCCTCCTCCCTGTCTTTTACCCTCTTCTTCTTCTTCGCCACAGCCTCCACCTCCTTGTTAGCCTTTTCCTTCAAAGGATCAATTGGGGGCGGTCGTGGCTCAAATTCACCAAGTCCTTTTCCCTGGTCGGATCCTCTCCCTCGCGATTGGCTTCGGCGACCGGTCTGCTTGTGACTCTTTGAATTTACTGGCCTTGGCGAGAATGGTCCTATCCTCCGCCTCTTGCACCTTCCTTCTCGCCTCTAATTCCACCGGTTCCAGGTCTCCACCGTTCGGCTGAGGGCCCAACTATGCAGCAAACAAGGCTGACGGCTAAACGAGCTCGTCCCATTTGGCGCCCTCATTCTCCCTCCATGCCTTCACCTTCTTCACCCTCTCCTCAGCTGCTGCCCCCCAACTTTGGCTTCACAGACTTGGTAGGCACTTTCCACACCGTGCGCACCCCAACTCCTCCATTTGTGGACACGTAGAACCACCGCGGCCTCCACCTTTTTATTGATGACGGCAAACCCGCCACCAGGCCCCTCCCTACCACCGCCTGCAAAGTGACCCAAGTTTCTTGCTGTCCCAAGGCCTTGTAGCATGCAAAAAACTCGTCCACTATCATAGCCGCCCCCTTATTCGCCCTCGGTCACGTGCTTGCACAGGCCAGTACAATCTTCCACGCGTTGGGCATTAGTTGACTCGGCGTCACTTCCAATCGATTTAGAACATCCACTACCACCTGCGGAAGCGGCAACCTCAACCCTCCCTTCAACGCCTCCTCGTAGAGGGCAAACTCCCCCGGTCGGGCGTCGAATGGCCTCTCCTTCGTTGTCGGCAACTTTAACTCTATTTCTGCGAGAATCTGGTATTTCTCGCGTATACCAACCAACTTATCAACTTTCGTATGCTAGTGATCTGGCTTAACCTGGCTGATTGGCTGCGCAGCCGCTATCATTGTGGACGAACGAGGTCGCCCCAGCGGCTCCCCCTCACTTCCCACTCGCCTCTCCGTCCGGTATTATTCTGCCAAATCCACCGCATCGTCATCGTCCAATGGATCGACTCTTGCGTTTGTTGCTTCCTCTTGGGCCATTTCTCTCGTATGTCTGTGAATAGCTTCAGATGCTAGTGCGAGATAGTTCATGAAGTGTTGCAGGGGTGTATCACTCGCGACGAAGGAGTTTACACTTAGAATATTTTGGTTGTTTGCAAAAAGATACGTGAAACGAATAATACCAAAAGCCCAAGGTTTGCTCATATTCCAAGGGTCACAATTAAATTTCGCTAGTTTGAAATTTTCAAAAAAATCTGCCAAACCTGTCTTTTCGACACCCTATAATGACCTATCGTTTCACTTCTTGCCCAACACCTAACCTTTCCCACTACAGGATCCTGTCACGTGTACGACCACGATTCACTACCCCTCCACCTACCCTGTCTTTTCCACTTCAAATCACCACGTGCTCCGCCGTCCCTCGAGCCCCGCGCACCACCACCCATCCTTCGCGGTCGGCCCTCCTCATGGTTCGTCCCTCTGCTCGGCCACCCTTCGCGGTCGGCCCTCCTCATGGCCGGTCCCTCCACTCAGCCACCCTTTACGGTCGGCCCTCCTCATGGCCGGTCCCTCTGTTCGGCCACCCTTCGCGGTCGGCCCTCCTCATGGCCGGTCCCTCCACTCAGCCACTTTTTACGGTCGGCCCTCCTCATGGCCGGTCCCTCTGTTCGGCCACCCTTCGCGGTCGACCCTCCTCATAGTCGGTTCCTCCACTCGGCCACCCTTTGCGGTCAGCCCTCCTCATGGTCGGTCACTCCGCTCGGTCGGCCTTCACCCTGCCAGTCTCTCACAACCCTCGTATTCTTCATTATTCCCTTCGTTGGGCTAAAGCTGCACTTGGAAATGAGAGACTACTAACATGGGTAAGCCCATAAAGATTATAGCCCACCATTTAGGGCCCAATACATAACTCAAATACTAAAGCCAGTATTGCTGAAGCCCCACGCAGCAATAAGAACCAATGGCAGCAAGACACAATGCAAGAGAAAGGCAAGTCACATAAGCAGACAAAGATCTGCAAAGTTATTGCCACTACACATCGCCATTAATGAAGCCCCTTACAGCATTTATTGCGATAACCCGTCTCCGTCGAGGCAGAACGCCTTCACCATGAACAAGGTAAGCTAGAACATAGACTTTCGGCCAAGGTGACAGGTTGGAAGGGACAGCGAAATGATTACCGGAGGATATAAACAGACGTCAAAGACAAGAAGAAGGTTAAGCTTCTCTATCTCTAACTTGCTCGTCGGAGGGTTCGCTGGGGGATTCCCCGTTCCACGTTGAACTCGTGTGTAGGTCTTCTAGTGAGCTTGATCATTTGGACACCGATTTGGGAAGCGTGGATCAGCCCGATCCGTTCCATCTGGAACTCGCCGTATCAATAGAAAGTAAAAGTGACATGAACAAATTAATTGACTATCATTACCATTTTGTAAATAAAACAACAACATTTATATGTATATATCCAATAAACATTACAATTCTAACTATTGATCCACAATTTGCCAATATTGACTTGTGCTTCAACAATGGAAACTAAGTTAAAATTTGGAGCTATATGTTTTCATAATTTAGTTGTAGTTTTATATCCTTTGTACTACTATATTTTGGTCCAAAGGTTTTTTTTTTACCCCTTGTTTTTCTTCCCCTTGGTCCAAAGCTTAAAGAACTGATAGAAGTGTCTCACATGTAAAATAGTTCTAGACTTACATCCATGTAGAGGCAGCGCAATGGCAGAAGGCTTTAGTGCATTAGCATAATCAGCAGGTTGATGGTAGCTTCACCGAAGATGGTAGATTATGAAGAACCTTGATGCCAATTCAATCCAAGATATCATAAAGTTAATCACTATGGAATAATGTGCGTAATAAGTACAGAAAAATACAAGAGGCATCAGTGTATCAAGTACAGATAAGTAGCAGTACAGAAAAATATATTTATAAACATAAGAATCAAAGTGAAGAATTAGTGACGAATAAGAATCAATTTAAACTGTTTACTACTTCCACATTATATGGCATATTGGACAAGTTTGTTTATTCATATCGGGAAGAGTCAAGACAAAAGATGGTCACATTGCTTTCTTCCATTAGAATCCCCTTAGCCTTCTCGCATAACACCCTAACCTACAACAGAGAGAGAAGATGTCAATGGAGAACCTTTTTCCATTACACTAAAACAGAAAGGTATCCATTAAAAGGTGAATACTATAGCATAATAATAACAACAGTTTCATAACATGGATAAGGCAAAGTACAATATATAGATGTTCTGGGTAAGAGGCAAATCTAGGACATCATCAAGAGCCATGATAATATTGCTCCAATTCTATTCTACAAAAGTTATAGACAAAAAACACAAACATATGAGATGTTGAAGAGTGAAGCTGAACAGATATAAAATAACAATGAATCCTTAAAATTCTCACACAGTGCTTATGATAATCAGAGGTCATATTCCCATTTCCTTGTCAAAGTTTCGATACTTGAGAAGCTACAAGATGTATGTTTCGCTACTAGATCTGGTCAAAAATGATTTTAACGGAGAGAGATTACGACATTTTAACTGTTGTGCATGTTCATGTCTGTATCCAAGTGAATATGCCTATTTTGATGCCTATGTTTATTGGCAGTGTCAACAAAACTATTCATGTTATATACACATTCTACCAGTTGAATAGAATTGCTTACATGGCACAACTTTAGGGGCTCTTTTGAAGCCAGAAAGTGCATGTCATACTCCATGGCACTGCAGAAGATGCATATACAACAAGAAGTTTTACTGTGTTACATCTATTAAGATGTATTGATCCATGAGCAAATTAATGTAAGTCTAAAAACTTGATTTTAACAGAAGGCTCTATGAGAGAGAATTATTAGACCACATTAAAGTTACTCTAAAAAAACAATCTCCAAGTACTGCCAAAACAATCATTGTTGAACCTAAATTCAGAGGACATATGTTCCCAGTTTCTTAATAAGCCACAAGCTATATGTTAATAAGCTACTAACAAAACCAACTTATTTAGAAAAAGAAATCAAACCACCATAAAAAAATTAAAAACAAAAACCAAGATTATTCATCTTAAAGGATGGCATGGAGCCGCTTTGAGTGAGTGCATGTCATACTCCATGTCACTGCAGATGGCGTACATATACATAACAAGAAGTTTTACTTGTGTACCAAGATGAGAAGATCCTTGAGAAAATTATTTAATAGTCTAACGAACTAGATTTGAACAAAAAGTTCTATGAAAGTTCTATGAGAAGGAGAGTTATACCAAACTGTAACTACAATGGATTTGCTTTTAAAAAAAACTCTCTTCGTACTGCACAAAACAATCACTGTTGAACCCAAATTCAGAGGTTATGTGCTCCCATTCCACTCTCCTGAAAATTCCCTTTTATTATTATTATTATTATTATTATTATTATTATTATTATTATTATTATTATTATTATTATTGTTTTTTATTTTTTAGATAGGGAGTATACAAGCTATCTTAATAAATCTTTTATTTTTATAAAATCAAGATCTCAGTTGCATTATTTTTTATTGATTTTATTTATAATTTTTATGTTTGTAATGTTTATTTTATAATCATCTTTATTATTGATTAATTTGTATTAATGATTTTTTAATATTTTATAGTAATACATTTATTTATTTTATTACAAAAATAGTATCTTTTATTTATTTATTTATTATTGATTAATTTGTTATTAATGCTTTGATTTAAATAGAATATATTCTCTTACTTGAGACCATAGTCATATGTTAATTAAAAGATACTGGTACACACTATTTTACACATCCATAGTTATGTGTGAGTATAAAATAGTGTTCCAAAATCTAGACACGTTAACAACTATTATCTAAACTGACTCATCATTTCAACATTTTGATTAAAAAATGGTATCAACAAATTTTGATTAAAAAAAAAAGTAGCAGCAACATTAGCTTTATATCAACAGAAAACATTGCACAGCTTCTTAACGCATGGAAAGTTGTTTCAGAACGAAGCATTTGGATTTTAAAATGGAATGAGGCCGGCAGAATGGTACCACACACACGAGTTTCAAGCTATCGATTAGTTAGTGTGTCCCCCCACGTAAGACCGACAACACCACACCAATCAACGGTTTAGATCCCGACACATATTATAAAGGCAAGCAATATGACAGAAACCAATCAAATAACCGAATTAGTTTTTCTGTTCCTAGAACAACTGCCAATAAAAAGGATCAAAATAATAGCTGAGAACAACTATAGGTCAAAAGAATACCAATCAAATCCATGATAACTGAACAAACTTTAAAAATGACAGAAAAGTCTAAATAAACTGAAAATAAAAATAATAATCCTAATACCAATTCCCAGATCTTCAAACTCTCTCTCCATACCAAATCCCAACCCTAAAAAGTATTTCAGCAACCAATTTGCCACCCCCCACAAAAATGAAATAGATCCTAGAAATTTTAGGAGAAAACCCCACAATCGCAGCTCATGAATCCTAAAAATAAATAACACTAGGCCTCTACAAATGCATATGCATATATTACAGAAGAAATGTATATACCATGCCAAATTGGGCTTGCTTCATTCCTTCGAGGACAATGAGCCGAGCTAATCACCAACATTGGGTCCTGATGATGTTAAATAGAGGACACCCAAAGCCTCGGAAACTTTCTTTTTCAGAGCATCTAGAGCCTCGATAAGATGGAGAACCTCGGTTTGGTCCATCTCCAGCAACATGCCTGTCACTTTTCCAGCATGGTCAGGCTCAACCCTCTCCACTAGTGGAAATAGCTGTTCCCCTAACATCTGTCATTTTGACAACAAGGCCATTGCAAACATTCAGAATCAAGAACCAACATTTCAAAGTAGTTTTCAGATTTTTATGCCATGGAAGCTAAAATGAAGAGACAAGATTAAAAAACTCACCATGCGCTGATTCTCTAGCGTAACAGAAGCCAGAGCAGAAGCAAGTGTTGACATAGGCACTGGCCCAGGATGATGAGCATCCAATGGAGTCGTTGGCATTCCCGAAACATCAAAAGGCAATGGCATCATTGGAGCCATGAGACCTTGAGGAACAATAGATGGGTCCATACTATTTTGTGTGCTGGCCACATATCTTAAGCCTTGGTTGGCGTTTCGATGCATCAACTAATTTAAAATGACAACAAAAATACATACAACACCATTAGAGAGATCATGAAATTCAAAAGCAGAACACAATAGTCTTAAAAGACATGGGACAAAGACGTTCGTAAATCAGTCACCGGGAATTCTTGCTAAAGTTTTTTTATATCAGCCTTCCAACAAGGCTGGAATTTTTAAAAATTACGAAGTGTATGTCATGTTTGATCTAATTCCAAGGCCAAAGACCCTTGATTATATAAATGCATAAAGCATGAGGAAGAAATGAAAAACAACACTTGGAGACAACATAGAGAACAATAATGTACCTGCTGATGCTGGTGCTGCATCTATAGAGGATTCCCACCTCTCCTTGCTCCGACATACTGTCCGATTTGTCCTTTTTGCCTATTCAAGTTGCTAAATATCTCCCTATTCCACTCTTTTACCTTCTCCTTGATTAATTTCAACTTCCTCAAAACAATTATAAATAAATATTATAAAATGGGTCCATTCACATGGTTTTCTTTGTTGCAAGTTTACAATTCAAGCTCAAAGCTACATATGTTTCCAATTTTGAGTGACCATCTACATCTAAAAATTTCTACTCCACCCAGTATGTCACATGAAGATGTAAGGGCAATAATCTCATTGATTTTTTTTTTCTTTTCCCCAAGGTCCCCTTAATGAAGAAAACATGACAGCTTTCTAAAGTAATTTCATATACATTTACAATAATACAGTGGTGAGGCAGTGCAGCACGCACATGATCCATAAGGCATAGTAACAAGACTTTAATTCAAACATTTTCCATCCACATCCTGTACACCAAATAACAAGGTTCAGAAGACAAGGCAGGGACATGATACACATGAAGCAATGCAGCATGTATGTAGCCCAGAATGCATGTTGAGAAAATGTCAAATTCAATTTTTAGCATTATGTAAACCAAACAAAACAGATCAAGAGTCAAAGCAGGGACATGACACAATGAGCAAATGTATTATTAGAATTATTTAACTTTGACCTTGTCCTCCATCCCAAATAGGGGATGGGTCCAAAAGGGGGTTTTACACTAACTAGTTCCTAAGAGACATTTTATCAAACAGTTTAAAGACAAGAAAAACAGACATATATATAGGCAAATTGGTACAAACGTATACACATCATTTCATATACACATACAAATAGGTACAAACATATAAATCTATAAATTCAACAACAGTTCATAGTTTCCTCTACAATGTGCAAATGATTATTGGTACCTTCAAGATTCCAAGTACTCTAGTGACATCTTCCTTCATGAGCTTCTTTCTCAAATCCTTAAAATACATCAAACTTAGAGCCTCAATGTAAACTTCAACATCATCACAGTCAGCAATCTCGACAATGTAGGGGTTAGAAGTTCGCTGCTGCTTCGACCACCGATCGGAAAGCTTAACCGCGAAGAATCGGCTGTGAGCAACCAAGATCTGCCGAGAGAGAGATTGATCTGATTCAGGGGGGAAAAACGAAGAACTTAACTAATTAAAATACCTGTTTCGGATCTCTTTGAATATTGACGACGACCGAGTACCGATCTCCCTGGAGACGGGGGTGGTCCAGTGAAATCTCTCTTTTTGTAGTGGCTCCTTTCAAAATCTCCCCTATGGCTGAAATAGGAAGTTTGGGGCCACCACTATTGATGAAGATTGGGATGGAGGAGAGACGGAGTGAGGAAGAGAGAAAATGAAGACAGTAATATGGGGTTCGGGGTTGGGTCTGCGACAGGGAATTGAGGAGAGAGAGAGATAATCGGAGGAGGGCAGATGCGAAAGAGACAGAGGGGCCGTTTGGGAAGAAAAAAAAAACCTAGTTTAGGCTAAAATTTATAAAAAGATAAAATAGATTAAAATAGTTAATAAGACAAAATATCACGTCAAATTCATAATCATTTCACTTTTTCTCTCACAAACATCACATCCAATCACAAAAAAATCCAATCATTTTCCCAAACACAAAAATTTTAACCTACTAAAATAATCAAAAATTAAAATAACCTACTAAAATAATAACTTCCCAAACAAAGCCAGAGAGTCACAGAGTGAGAGAAACTTGTTTCTAAGCCCTAACTCATTTGTGTGTTTGAAATCCCTCCAAAATCCCTCTAGAGTTCTTACCAAATTAATTTAAAAATTCCTCCAAAATTTGAAGTTCAGCCTCCAAATTTTTTAATTATAATTAGTGACCGAAATTTAATAGCTAAAAATTAAATAAATAACGATTAAATTATTTTTAATTGTTAAAGATTGCACATTTAGAGACCAATTTTATTTTTTGTAGTCCAAAATATTATTTTCGACGACTAAAACTCATTAGTCGTCAAAAATAAAATAAATATTTACTAAGTCTCCATTTAGGAAGTGGATTGGTTTTTTAGCTTTTTTAACTATTTTAGTCTGGGCTAAAAAACTTGGTTTGGAAAAGACTTTTTGACTTTTTTTTGAGAGAATAGTGTAATGATTATGGGTTGGATGTGATGTTTTGTTTGTTGTGGCTAAAATAGCTTATTTTGTTTTTTGTGGCTAAAATAGCCACAAACTAACTTGCCAAACGGAGTGTGTTTTGGTCACCACAAATGTATATTTTCTGACCAAATGAGGTAGTCACCAAATATTAAAATCAAATTATACTAGATATTTGGCGGCTGAATTTCTTTTAGTCGGCAAAAGTTAGTATATGATGACTAAAATTTATTTAGTCGTTGAAAATAAATTTTTTGCTACCAAACTTTTGGTCGCTAAAAATAAAAAGTAAATTTTTATTTTTCATTCGACGACTAAATAATTTTAGTTGCCAGAACTAATTATACAACTGGGCTCATCCTCCTTCTCCTCCACTAGTGCCTCCGCCGAATCCGAAAGATCGTCGAGATCTGAATCAGATTTGAGTCATCGTCTCGAATCCTGATCTCTCTTAACCTTCTCTCTACCACACCCCTCGAAACAAGCCAGCTTAGAAAACATGAACCAGCTTAGATTACCCAAAGTTGTAGGAATAGGCCAAGTGCTTTGGTTGTTTTTCAAAAGCGTTTTTGAAAATCTTCATCTTTTTCCTCTTCATCATCAGCTAGGGTTTCCTGGTTTTCGAGCTCTTCGAAGATGTCAATGGCGTCGCAAGAGCATCTGGACAAGATGCAGCTCTGCCAGAACTACCGTAACCTCTGGCACACCGATCTCATAGGCACCATTTAGGTCAACACTCCATGTACTCTCTCTCTCTCTCTCTCTCTCACTTCTGTACTCTAATGTGGTATTATTTTTGGTTTGTTTTCTTTGATACAAATTGTTGCCTTGCGTTTTGGTGGCCACCAGCAGTGAGGTGGGGGTGAAGGAGAATCTGTGTGAGAGAGAGAACAGTCTGATTTGTTTAAACAAAGAACAAACAGAACAATTGGTTTCCCTCTAAAATTTTCACACCTTTGGCGACAAAAGTAGTTTTTGGTTGGCAAATGTTAATAATTAGTGACTAAAATTTTATGGTAGCCATATCTTAATTAACGGCGACTAAAATATTAGTCGCCAAAAGTATTAATTTGGTGACTAACTTTTTTTTTGTAGGAAAAATTAAATATACGTGTAGACACCCCATTTTTGACTGTCCTCAAGACTTGGACATCATCGTTTGAATATTCGATGATTATCCATGTTCGTGTTCATCTTGAGTTCTCAGAGGTTTCGGCCGCGCGCCTTGAGACCTCTCGACTTGTTTGTTTTGTGCTTGGTTATAGACCAAACACTTGTGTGATTGCTTCTAAGGGCAGGGAATAGCTTGTGGCCATCCCCACATCTCACCGGCCATGGCCTGAGGCCACCGGCCCTGTTTTCTTGTTATCGGCCAAAGGTGTTGGCCGGTTGGCATTGTTTTTGGTCGGCCAACCATTGTTTTGATTAATCGGCCACTTTTTCTGGCCGATACCTTTTCTTGGGGAGGCTTGACCCTTCTGAACCTTTGGTTTAGCTTCTTATGGGAGGATTGACCCTTTTGAACCTTTGTTTTAACTTCTTGAGGAACCTTGAACCTTTTGAACATTTTTTTAGTTTCTTGAGGAAGATTGAACCTTTTTAGCTTCTTTAAGAAGCTTGACCCTTTTTAGCTTCTCCAAGAAGCTTGACCATTTTTTTGGCTTCTTAGAGAAGCTTGGCCGTTTTGCTCAAGCTTCTAAGAGAAGTATGGACCTTTGTTCCTCTATAAGAGAGAGCCTCTCCCTCATTAGAAAAGGTTCCAAAAAATTTTGCTAAGGCATGCACATATATCTCTCTTTGTCTCTACACTTAGGCTTAGAAAGAGTGAAGCTCTTGGTCCCTTTGCACACCAACTCGTAGCCTAACACCTCCATCATCAACCTAAGGATCTTGGAGCCCATTTTCAGAGGTTGAAGGTCTAGTTTTTTGGTCTCAAAGCTGCTGGTTTTGCTGAAGCTACAACAGTAACACACTCTACCATCTTTTGATCTTTATTTTGCTTCATCTTTTAGCCATACTTGCAAGTATTTTCGAGCTTTGTCATAAACTAAAAAAAGTCTTATTTTGAGCTCCTTTTGAAGTTTATTTAAGACCACTTTTGTGTTTGGGGTTGTCTACCCCCTCTTAGGCCTTGTTTGGCCTTATTTTTGTGCCTTTTTTGTGAGCTTCAGGACCACCTTGTATTGGCCTCCTCACCACTGAAATCCTTCTGGTAGGGATGATGTTTTGAGGTCCTAAGAAGGAGAGGGCCATCCCCTCTCCTTATTGTCTTGTTTACTTGCATTTTTGGCCTTACAAAGGAGCTCATATTTGCATACATCCCAAGCTTGGTTCAGGCCCTTTTTGGTGAGTTTTAGGACCTGCATAAGCTTTGTCCAAAGCTGGTTTTGCCATATTAGATGTCCTTCTTGCATGTGTAGAACAACTCCTTTCATGGCCTTTCAAAGAAGCACCTCATTCTTGTAT